GATCTGTTTTTTAAACAATTATCAAAACAATATAATTTTAATTATACCTTTTCAAATCAACAAGGTACAAAACGTACAAACATGGTTTTGCTTGCCAATCTTTCAAGAGGCATGGCTGCCGTTGAAAGTGAAAAGGGAACATATTCTTAGAAAAACGAAAACGGCAGAAAAAGAAAAGAAAGGTTAGAGGTGGCCGACCTACCTACCTTTACCTGGAAATTTAGCCTCGTTGACTTGTTACCTTACTAAACATCTTCTTCTCTAGTTAATTTACAGCAAGTATACGTCAAAATGACCATCGATCTTGTGCCATTCATTAATTTCTCAAAATTAACAGCACCAGCTGGGCATCTTGTGCGTGGAAGCTAGGCTCAGACTGCAGGTAGCGAGTGCTCCTCGGGCTGAACAGCTGGGGATATATGCTTTTTTTGCAAGTCAAAAACTTACCTCCTCCTCTCTGTAAGGACAACATGAATAGAGGTGACGGAGGAAAGAAATATCTATTTAGATTTTGTGTTTTAAAAATATAAAAAAATACTCTAAAATAAATAATATCATATTTTAATCATTTCAAACAAACGTATTTTTATTCTTTTTATTCATTTCTTTTAATCTTGAAATACTATCCAGACCTCAAGTGATAATACTGTAATATTCCACAATTCAAAACTATGGACCACACAGCGACTTCTCTTGATTGTGGGGAACAGCCCATTAATTCACGTTAGTGGGCCTCAAGCTCATTTCCGTACAAATGATAAAAAGAGTTGAATGTGTCCGTGTGGCGATTGCATTTAGTTCCGTGACCATTTTCGCATCCTATACATTCAAGTAGTTTTCATATTATCTTTTATATAAAAATAAAGAATCTTGATGGGCCAAGTAGGCAAGTAGCACCGAAGAGTGATGCTACTCTTAGTCTCCCTAAGAGAAAAATGTCATGGATATCATGATTCCATCCTCTCTATGTTTAATTGGTTATATATTATATTGATTTTTTTTAGATATTTAATTTATTAATAAATGTTTATTTATCTTTATTATTTATTATATATTTTATTAATGAATCTAATATTTTATTAATAAATCTAGAACAAAGAAAAAGTTCTTGAAATAAAAATAATCTCCAAAAAACATTACAAAATTATGATAATTATAAGATTCTTATTGCATCAAAATATTATTTCTAAATATTCATAGTTAATGCTTTATTAAAACTGAATATTAATTAGAGTTGTTGAGACTGATACATATTATGTTCTTTTTTTTATTAAAAAAATGGTTGTTCTTATAAGTTGAGGTATGAGAAATATCTAGAACTAATATGTGGGTGTTTGTCAGATGACTTGTATACTAAACTGACCTACATGAGAATTACATTGGAGATATCACTTATGTCTATGAAAAACCTCGTGTGACAATTGTGTAAGTGATCATTTGACTTGAGATCACTAAGTTATCTTATATGAAGAGTGTTATGTTTTGATCTTGCTACATATTATCCTAATCAAGAATAACAAATGGACAGATATTGAGTATAACATGATTTGATAAACCAGACACACTGATGAAGTTTGAATATTGACACTATATTGATGAGATTGATTACAATATTTCACAATATAATATAATACAATACTAATGAATAAAGTGTTATATATATATATATATATATATTGGGTAGCACCCAGGTTGTCACATAGCAATGTTGGTGGGGAAGGGATAGATAGGTCGAGTTCCTGAAATAGGAACAATAACTAGATGCTTTTAGAGGCAGTATTTACAAGGGCTTTAAATTCCACTTCGATGGATGATCTTGCATCAACCTTTTGTTTTTTTGAACTTCAAGAAATTACATTGGAACCAAAAAAGCAAATATAGGTAGATGTTGAGCTTCTATCATTATAGTTACCCAATCAACATCGATGTAAATCATTAGGTTTGATCTAGAGCTTTTGTGAATGTGAATACCATGATAAATGACATGCTTCAAATATCATAGGAGTCTCTTTACCGCTGTCAAGTGCATGATAGTCGA